CAGGTGAGACAGACCTTTCCTGCTGACCTTCCAAGTAGTTCTTTGGTGTCTGTGGGCTGAGAGGTCTGGGAACCACCACTGCTGCCTATGATTTAGTCACTCTGAGGCCTGCTCTGGCTTTGCTGGGGCCCAGTCTGTGCTGGCGGGGCCAGTGCTGGACTGTGCTCCTCTCTCATCCTGCTGCAACAGACCTTTCCTGCCGACCTTCCAAGTTGTCTTGGTCTGGAAATTTGCTTCACTCCGTCTTTTTGTGGGTTCTGCTGCTCTCGAATTTGTTTAGAGTCACTTTTTAAAGGTATTTGGAAGGGTTTGGGGGAGAACTCAGGTGAGTCCCTCTCTTTACTCTGCCATTTTGGCTCCACCTCCAATAAGCATATGTTAAACACTTACTTGGGTGGGGGGGTAGCTAGATGGCTCAGTGAACAGATTGCTGGACCTGGAGTTAGGAAGCCCTGAATTCAAATTTAGCCTTGGACACTTATTAGCTATATGACCCTGGGCAAGTCACTTAACCTCTGTTTGCCTTCAGCCACTGGAGAAGGAAATAGCAAACCACTCCATCATCTTTGCCAAGAAAACCCCATGCACTGTATGATCCACAGGGCCACAAAGAGTCAGACACGACTCAACAATAACAACAACAAAACCCTCACTATGTACATGGCAATGAGGTCTCACTTAGACTATTGCAATAGCCTTCTCACCAATCATTCTCCCTGCTTCTAGCCTCTCTCCTTTCAAGTCCTTCACACATATTTCCAAAATAATCTAATTACAGATCTAACCGTGTTACTTCCTGCTCAGAAAATCTTCAATGACTCACTATTGCCTCTAGAATAAAATAAGAACTCCCTGGCCTAGCACTTAAGATGCTCCCCAGTGTAGTTTCAAACTACTTTTCCAAACTAATTTCCTGTTACTTGATTTATTCATTTGACTACTAGTCAAATTATTTCACACGTTAGACTATAGTTATTTTTTTTAACTCCACATGTCACTTCCCATGTCTATGTATTTGTATAGACCAACTCCTATGCCTGGAATGGACCCCCAATTACCTATCTCATAATTCTTGTGGACCTTAAAGGTTTAGCTCAGCTGTTACCCCCTTTGTATAGTCTTCTCTGATTCCTGTAGTTAAAAGTGTTCTCTCACTCTTCTTTCTGGATCCTTCCTCTGCCACTCCTATCACTCCCTGTCTTATATCATGCTTACCCATATGCAATATCAGAGTCCTCCTCCCCACTCCCTTCCCCTCCTCCCATTGTAAGTCCTTTGAGAGCAGGGTCCATTTTGTTTCTGACTTTGTACTACTAAGATCTAGTGCATTGCCTTGCACATAGTAGGCATTTAATAAATACTTACTGAGTTTAATTGTTTGGTGAATTATTCTCATCTCGTCACAAATAGAACCAGAGACCTGACAGGATCTCAAAAGTTCGTTTTGTTCCTCTGTAGAATAGCACTTAAACAATCCCTTAGATATTTTAAATTACTTTTTAAAAAATCCCCATCAACTGAAATGCAGTAACCTTTTTTGGAAAGGCCCCTCTCTCCTGCATCTTCAATCTTTCCTCATTGTATCCTTTCTCTACTCTCTATAAGCATTCTCCAAGGCCCGGTATGTAAGACTATTTTTCTTCATGTTGCTACACTCTCAAGTCTTATCTCTTTCTTTATAGCATCAGATTTTTCAAGAGTATTCTATCATCCTGACATCTGCTTCTTCACCAGTCATTTGTGTTTTAATCCCTTGATGTTTGGTTTCTTTCCCACTAGTGTATTGAAATTGCTCTCTCACAGGTCACTAATGACCTCCTAGTCAGCAAATCCAATGATTTTTCCCCTCAATCCTTGTCCTTTTAGCAGCATGTGGCACTGTTGCTCATCCTGTCTTTTAAACTCCCAAATTTGGTTTCTGTTACCTTGGAATGTCTTGGTTCTTCCCTTACCCCATTATTGGGACATTCTCTAAGGTTTTACTTTTCTTTCTCTTCTCTATGTGCTATTGCTACATGATCTTATGTGATCACACATGTTCAGCATCATTATGCGGTTGATTATTGAATAGATATCTTCAATCCTGACCTCTGAACCAAAGTTCAGTCTTGCCTTTACAACTACTTACTGAATATTGCTACTTCTATATCTTGCTGGCACCTCAAACTCAATGCATTTAAAACAAACTCATATTCCATCTCAAATTGACTCATACTGCTGGTCTTTCCTTTTCTCTTAACATTACTACCATTTTTCTAATCAGTCAGATTTTAGACTTTGAAATAACTTTGATGACTTTTTTCCTCCTTCAAAAGTCCATATCCAATTTTTCTCCATGTCCTGTCCATTTTCATTCATCATATTTCTTTCCATTTCCAAGACTCTAGCTCAAGCCATGAACACCATTACTTGATATCTGGACCATCTCAATAACCTTCTAACTATTCTTTGAATATTGCCTCCCTCCCCTATAAACAGTGTTGTACTGGTAAATGTTTAATAACCAGCTATCTAGAAAAAAGTACAAACAATACACTGTAAATGTTAGTATGCAATATTAACATTTTTTCATCACTTTCTAAAGTCTAGACAATCAGCAAAACAACAAATTGAGTCCATATTTGTAACATGTCTGTTTCAGATGTATGAATACTCACACATAAAATTTAACAGTCATCTCTAACAAGATAGTTAGAACTAGCTCCAGCACACCCTTGTCTATTTCTCAGTACATGTTTGTTGAATAAATGCTTCAAAAAATTTTTTTAATTAAAAAACCCTTTTTCTTTTTGGCTCCTCAAAGCTCCTTGAGTTACAAAATAAGGCCATTTTCATAGCTTCAGTGCTGCCTCACCAAGTTTGAAGATGCTGCCTTGTCAAGTTTCCCTTTGCTCCTTTCTTCTCTTTTTTTTAGTTCCCTATTTTAATCTAGTATGTTAACATTTTTTCCTTTTTTTAGACTTTCCAAAGATATTTTTGTAAATTAAAAACATTTCTGCTGTATTGGCAAATGCTGACACTAGGGTGTTTGACCATTAGTAAACTGGATGGGCTATTGAGTAAAGAAGTTCATGGACAAAGAAACACTAAAGGTTCCTTTCACTTAAAATCTATGATCCTATGAGTGGCATAAAGAAAGGTCCTTTCTAATCCTGAAGTTCAGTGATTTGCTAATTCTGTCTCTTTGCTCTGCTAACTCAGCTTTGAGTTTGTTTGTTTTTTTAACGTAGTTAATTTTTATTGGTAAACATTGACACTAACATTAGAAATGTCAGTAGAAAAATAAAATTTCAGTTGTTTTCTCTCATATAAAGATTTGGACTTATTGACTGTAGCAGTTGGTAAAAAAATCTTAATACAAAAGGGTAAGCTGATTTGTTACAACCAGCATACACAGTGTGCGTACAAAGGTGAAGAGCCTTCTGAATGTGGACAGTCAATGGTACTAGTGCTTTACATTCAACAAAACTGTTCCTTGGCATTTCTCTTTTTTTTTAAATTAGGCTTTATAACACAACAAGACTACAACTTAAACCACAGCAATTAGGAAATAAGGTTGGACTGAAAAGTTTTTAAAAGCTTGGTAGATGAATAAATTTAAACATATAAGAGGAAAAGTAATTCTATGCATGAACAAAACTTATCTCACTGGCTCCACATTTCATAAAAGGTTAAGTTTTTGTTGCTTAAAAAAATAGCAGAAGGCTGTGCTAATGATTCAGCTCTGAGTTTTACCAGTGTTTCTTCCACCCTAAAATATATGTTTTCATAGTCCAACAAAGAATTAAGGAAAGAGTAGATTAGAACCATAAGAGCAGAAAGGATTTTAGGATTTAGGAATTAGAAGGGATCTTGGGAGACCTCTAGTTTGATTTCCCCTTATTTTACAGATGAGGGGCTAGGGCCCTAGGAGCCCAATGAACTAAAAAAATAGAGTATGAGCCCTGCCAGTGAAGGGTTATTAATTCCTTCAGTGCTTCAGCTATTAAAATTTTTGTTTCAGGTATGGGGAGACATTAAGTGTCCACAAAGACCAGCAGGAATCACAGATAAGCAGGACAGCTTTGAAAGTAACATATCTAATTTATTATATTACCTTTAAAGAAAAGGAAGGGCTAATAATAGAGATTTATAGGTTCATGTATAAACTTTTCTTTCTGTTCTACTGTGTATATAGTAGTACATACTTTAATTGATGTTTGCTAAGTTCAGAATTCTGTAAATGATATCGAGTAGAGAAGGAAAGAAGGGAAAGCAATTAACTGAGTAGTCAAAGTGGAATGATAAGGATTGGAGAAGAAGCAAGGTAGTAACTCAGAAGGTTCTGAGTAATATGGAATACAAACTGTTTTAAATAATATATATCTTCCTTCTAGAAGAGAAATTTTTTTATGGGCCAGGATTAAAATGACAAGTCTTTAAACATCAGACCCAATTTATTTGTACATATCTATATTTTTAGAGAGAAGGGGCCAGAAAGTGCTCTTATGATAAAGTCTTTTTAAAGAATTTAGTAATTTTGAACATTTAAATTTTATTTTTTAACCTGGTAACTTAAAAATGAATAAAAACCTAAAACCTGATTTTTCCATTGTTTGGAAGAAGCAATGATGAAAGAAAAATAGTGTGAGGTATATACTGATTGAATGAGAGAGGAAATAGGCAATGAGGAAAACAACAGAAGATAAAAAAGGGGGAGATCTAACAAGAGAGGGGCAATGTTTAAACAAAGATTATAGACTATTAAGGAGTTTGGAGAAGAGAGCAACAATGAAAACTTGTACATGAGAGAGACATAGTCTTGCTGGAGAGAGGCAGAGACATAAGAGATAAACAGTTCCCCAGGATAAACTGGTTAAGAAAAAAAGACACCTTAGGAGTTCATGGAAGAAAATGATTGGTGATGATGGGAATCAAGGTGACGAAGGAAGGAGTGATGGAGATTGAAAGAAAGACATAAGGAAATGGAAAGACCCAAAAGGTGAATCTAAGTTGCTTACCAAAGGACAGCTTATATGTAGTTGGGAGCAGGATTCAGTCTAAATCTAGAAGTCCTTGTCACATCCCTCTTCAGCTCTCGCCACGAGGGAGTGTATATTTGGTATATTTAGGAACTTTGTTTTTTTCTTCTAGTGAACAGTATTTTGTGTATTTTTTTTTTAAAGGAGCCGTCTCTGGTCCCTTGGCTATTACTTTGTGGTATAATCTAACAGGAAAGGTCAAAGTGAGTCATCTCCAAATTTTGCAGTTTTGCTCAGATAAGAGAGATGGAAGAAGAGGAAGAGTTGTTAGAGAAAAGTTTATGTGTGGTTCTCAAAAAAAAAAAAGAAATGTGTTATCAGATAGAATTTTCATATGTGTGATGCCTATATTTGGGGGGACTATACATACACATACATATAATATGTATTATAGTATACATACATATATTAAAACTTTTGTATACAAACATACAGAATTATTTTTTGACTAGACTTGTGGGAATTAAACATTACTGATTACAGCTTAGTTTCCTGAACACATTGCATAAGCTCACTGATGTACCTAAGTAGTGTGTTTTTTTTGTTTTTTTGGGTTTTTTTTGCTTGTTTAGTCACAATGGAATATTATGAAGATTGGCAAAATAATTGCCAGTTTTTCCCTTTGATTCCTTTGGGATAAAGCAGCTGGAAGAATGTAGCTCTCCAACCCAAATGTAGAATCCTTCTAGACAAGCTACCCCAGGTTCAAAGTACTCTGTGGTTCCATATCCACTCAAAACCAAAGCTCCAAAGTGCCAATGCATTTACTTTTAAAATTAGTCAGCCAGAGGATACAATTGGCTCAAAGCCAATGAAATGGCATAATAGAAAAGAATCTTGGTATTGATAAACTTTTCCTTTCCAAAAGGTGAGCTCTTTTGAAACATAGAACAGCTAGAATCCACTTGTGATCTCTTGAAAGAAACTCCAAAATAAAAACTCCCAGGAACACTAAAGCCAAAATCTAGATTTTCCAGGTCAAAGAAAAATTACTGCAAGTATCTGTAAAGAAAGAATTCAAGTACTGAGGAACCGTGGTCAAGATCACACATGATTTTGCAGTCACCACCATAAAATAATGGAGAGCTTAGAATATTATATTCCAGGTTGCAAAGGATATAGGTTTAGAAACCAAGAATAACTTATCTAGCAAAACTGAGTGTAATACTATGGAGAAAAAATTGACTTTCAATAAAATAAATGTCTTCTAATCATTCTTGATAAAAAGACCAGAGGTGTAGACATTTTTAATTGAAAACACAGGTATCAAGAGAAACATAAAAATGTTAGTACGAATAAACAATCATAAGGGACTAAACAACTAAACAGTTTACCTACTAATTTGGATATATAATGCATGCTTTCACTTTAGAGAAGAAGTCTAATTAGAGAGAGGTCCTGGGAGTGGTTTTGTTATGTTTGATGACCTTAAAAGAAGAATAGATAAAGGGAGGAAGAAGAATACACTATGGGGGGAGGGAAAGGAAGGTTAAGGAAAATTATCTCACCTAATAGGATCTGCAAATAGAAGTTTATACAAAAAAGGAGGAAGGGGTGAGGAGAGCAAGTGATACAAACCTCACGTTCCCCTGAACTGTTCCTAGGAAGGAAGGATAGATGCACAGCGTTGGGTGCAGGAATATATTGCACTAAATGAGGAAACAGGAGAGAAAGGGGAGAAGGTTATCAAATTACCAAATGATCTCTTTGTTATTAAATTCAATGCCTTTTTCCCAATCCTCTTTCTCCATGACCAAAGGTCCTACGACCTTTGACATTGCTGATTATGCTCTCCTCCTCAGTATTCTTTTCTTTCTAGGTTTTCAGACACCATTCTCTCCTGGTTCTCCTCCTACCTATCTGACTGCTCCTTCTCAGTCTCTTCATTTATATCATGCCCCTTAACCATAAGTGCCCTTCAGAGTTCTGTCCTGAGCCCTCTTCTGTTCTAACTCTGTGCTGCTTCCTTTGGTGATCTCATCAGCTCCCACAGATTTAATTACCACTCTAGGCTGATGATTCTCAAGTCTACCTATCCTCTCCCAACCTCTCTACTGGCCTCCAATTTCACATCTCCAACTGCCTTTCAGACATCTCATACTGGATGTCCAGTGGACATCTTAAACTAAATGTGTTCAAAACAGAACTCATTCTCTTTCCTCCTAAACCCTTAACTTCCTTCCCTATTACTATAGAGGGCCATACCACCCTCCCAGTCCCTCAGATTCACATCCTCAACTCATTCTCACACACACTACAAATGTTGCCAAGGCCTGTCGATTTCACCTTTTCAACATCTCTTGAATATGCCTCCTTCTCTCCTCTGACACTGCCACCACTCATAGTGCAGGCTCTCACCACTTCATGCCTGGAGTATTGCAATGGCCTGCTGGTGGGTCTGCCTCCTTAAGTCTTTCTGAAGCCTCTTTGCTATGATCATCTGGTTCCATGTGCATGTATGCTTGACTACCCTGAGAATTCTTGTAGCGGGCATAGGTTGTTGAAGCCATGAGGCCTCTGAGCACCTTAACTGCTGGTTCTCTTTCTGGGTCCTCTTGTCCCTGAAGACTGGATGATGGTACTTATTCTAGTTTCTCTATTTTTTTTAATTAAAATTTTTCAATCAACAAACATCTTCCATTTCTCCCTCCCCCCTTGTGAGAAAGAAAACCAAAATCTCTAGTATAAACACGTATAATCAAGCAAAATAAAATCCCAACATTGGCTATTAAAAAAAAAAGTTTCATACAAGTGTGCTGGGGTAGTTGGAACCTGGCCCTGACAAAAAGTTCCAATTCTGAAAGTTTAGTTGGAAATACAGATGATGGTAAAGAAATTTAATGGAGATGAGCAGGCAGACTTCAGAAAAACCTGGAAAGACTTCCATGAACTGATGCTGAGTGAAGTGAGCAGAACCAGGAGAACACTATGCACAGTAATAGTAACATTGTGTGATGACCAACTTTGACAGAGTTAGCTCTTCTCAGCAATGCAATGAACTAAGACAACTCCAAAAGACCCATGATGGAAAATGCTTTCCACATCCAGATAAAGAACTATGGAGAATGAATGCAGATCAAAACATATTATTTCTCTCTCTCTCTTTTCTTTCTTCTTTCCTGTGGTTTTTCCCTTTGGTTCTAATTCTTCTTTACAACATGACTAATATGGAAATATGTTTAATATGATTGCACATGTATAGCGTATATCAGATTGTGCGCTCTCTCGGGGAGAGGAGAATGGAGGGAGGGGGAGAAAATTAAGAACTCAAAATCTTATAGAAGTAAATGTTGAAAACTAAAAATAAATTAAATATATGTATGTAAAGAAATTCAATGGACTCTGGAATGTTCAGGACACAGAATGCCACAGTGACTAGGGGCAGTGTCTCAGATAAAGGTCTGGCTTAGCCACAAAGCCCATCAGAAGGCCTGGAAGAGACAAAACTAGATAAAAATGATGTAAATGAAATAGCAGAACCAAAGGAAAGAATTGGAAAGAGAATAAGCAGCTTAGTCTGGAGTGCATAAAATCTTATTCAAGTAATTAGAATGGACTAAAGAGAAATCTATGTAATTAGAAGTAATTAAAAGAAAATGTAAGGTAAAAAACAACTGACCTAGAAACAGAACAAAGATAGATAATCTAAGAATCAGACTACCCAAAATCATAAATAATTTTTAAAAAGTAGATGTTATAGTTCAAGAAATCCTAAATGAAAACTGCTCAGATTTATTAGAATGAGAGAACAAAGTGTAAATACAAAGAATTCACTGGTCACTTCCTAAATGAAACCAAAAATGAAAACTTGCACAAATTTTGTTGCTTAAATCCAGACCCTCCAGATTAAAGAAACAATACTGTGAGTAGCCAGAAAGAATTCAAGTACCAAGAATCACACAAAACTGAGCAGCTAAGCTTATAAAGTATGAAAGAGTTTAAAGATACAATTTCCCAAAGGTAAAAAGATAAAGGCTTAAAACTAAAAACAACTTACCTGGAGAAACTAAGGATAATCCTATGGGAGAAAAAAATGAAACTTTAATGAAATAGAGGACTTTCAAGCAATCTTGATGAAAAAAGCAGAGTCGAAATGAAAACAGGGGTTAGGAGAAAACCTAGACAACATAAATAGATTGGAACTTTTGGAAAAAACCATATGATAAAGAATTCTAAAAAGAGAAGAAATATCTTCCAGTTTTGTAGAGGGAGCTAAATAAGACCAACAAAAGCCTGCGAGTAGTTTTTCCACCGTCTTAATGATTTTAAATGATGAAAGAAAAGGGAGAGAAAAAGACTGTACAAAACAACTATAGAATTTCTAAGATATTTGGGAGTCAAAGGAAAGCAGGAAACTGGGGAAAAATTTTATAGCAAGTTTCTCTGATAAAGGTCTCATTTTTCAAACATCTAGGGAACTGAATAAAATTTATAAAAATAAGACTCATTCTCCAATTGATAAATAGTTTAAGGATATGAATAGACAGTTTTCAGAAGAAATCAAAGCTATCAATAAGTTATATGAAAAAATGCTCTAAATCATTATTGATTAGAGAAATACAAATTAAAACAATTCTGAGATACCACCTTAGACTTATCAGAAATGACAAATTCTGGAGGGGATGAAGGAAAATAGGTACACTAATGAACTGGTGGTGCAATTGTGAACTAGCCCAACCATTCTGAAGAACAATTTGGAACTATGCCTAGAGGGTTATAAAACTGTCTTTGACCCAGCAATAACACTACTAGGTCTATACTCCAAAGAGATTAAAGAAAAAGGATAAGGATCTATATGCACAAAAATTTATAGCAGTTCTTTTCGTAGTGGCGAAGAACTGGAAATTGATGGGGATATTCATCAATTGAAGAATAGCTGAACAAATTGTGGTATATGACTGTGATGGAATGCTACTGTGCTATAAGAAATGATGAAGGGGATGGTTTCAGAAAAACCTGTAAAGACCTATGAACTGATGCAGAGTGAAGTGAGGAGAATCAGGCGAGCACTGTACATAGAATAGCAATATTGTAATAATGATCACCTGTGAAAGACTTAGCTACTCTG